ACTGGTTTGATCTCAACGATAATCCAATAAAAATTTCTTTTCAATTATGTAGCCAGTCAAATCTATCCATCTTGTGTTGCTACTGGGTTTTCAGGGAGTTAGAGAGTCTTCAGCTACCCCTGCGTGCAGTCCTTTAAAGTGGGGAGTGGGGAGAGGGGGGAGGAACAGGCGTGGGGAGGTGGAGAGCTCCGCTGGAAATAGAAGACAGGCCAGCTCAGTGTGGAGCTTGAAGGGACTCCAAAGGGACTCACTTACACAGGTAGTTCCCCAAACACTTCAGATTCGGGTAGATTTGCTGAAATTGAGCCGAAATCCCATGCTTCGTGAGGACGTTTATTCATTTCACGGCGAGGGCAGTGTCAAGGGCAGGGTCCTGTGCCTCTGGAGCATGTGGGGAGGGGTGGGGAGGGGACCACCTGAGCGAGGAGAGTCAGGGCTGGTGTTCCACCAGTGGGTTCTTTAGCTGCTAATCTGAGGTCCAGGTGGGGAAACTGGAGGTCTGTTAAGTAACCGGATCACGTGGTGGAAGGGCTGGACTGAATCCACCTTCCTCCAGGGCTGTGCTGAGGTGCAGCGGGGGCTTATTTGTCCCCCAGGAGACCCGCATCCCATCCCCAGGGCAGTTTTGGCTAATGGCATCTGCAGGCCCCAGGCTGTGGTCCTGGGCTCGCCTCTCCCTCACAGGCGCCTCCCACCCACCTGCCTTTCTTCTGAACCTTCCGGCCGGACCTCTCCGCCTGCCCTGGGGTTTATGCTGAAGATGCCCCGGCGGCTCCCTACTCTGGCCTGCACCCCCAGGCGCCGTGTAGAGCGCCATGGGGATCTGTCTACACTTCAGGGAGCCCCTCCCCAAAGGAGAAAAGCCCCATTTCTTCTACCAGGTTGGTGGGGGGGTCGTGGGCGGCTCTGTAACCAGCCTCCAGCCATCTCAGGGACGCCTCCTTTATCTCGGCCCCATCCCTGGCTCCAGCCTGCCAGCGCAGAACAGCCAGGCACCAGCTGCCTCCCTGTCCACCGGGGACAGCACTGCTGGCTGCTGGGGCCAGGCTCCCATCCACCTCCCCTGAGCGCCCTGCGTCCCTCTGACGTGCCCAGACCAACCCTGATTCCATCCAGTTCAGGGGTCTGCTCCCCTGGTGGGCTTCCCTGGTGGCTCAGCTGGTAAAGCATCCGCCTGCAAGGAGGGAGACCTGGGTTCAATCCCTGGGTTGGGAAGAGCCCCTGGAGAAGGGAAAGGCTACCCACTCCAGTATTCTAGCCTGGAGAATTCCATAGACTGTATTGTCCATGGGGTCACAAAGAGTTGGACATGACTAAGCAAGCTTCATTTTCATTTTTCCCCTGTAGGTACTGGGCAGACTGTAGATGCAATAAAATGTCTGAAACAAGCTATTGTGGGCAAGGAGGAGGAGAGATGGGGCGGAAAGAGGGGGTTGGAGCCAGAGAGGGAAGAGGGGCAGGAGGAGTGGGGAGGTGGGAGAGGACTGGGCTGGGTCCCTCATGGCCCAGAAGGTCAACAGGAAGCCAGAGAAGGCCAGAGTCATCTTCACTACAGTTCCATGGCTAAGACACCATGGCCTCTTTTAACCAGGCCCCACGAAGGACCCAGAGCATCAGGTGCACTCAGATTTAACGCAGGTTCGCAGCCTGCAGGGATATTTCGGGATCGGCAGATGCTGCTCTGCGCTCCTGCGTTTCCCTTCCGCACCCTCTGAGAGGCAGGTGTCCCTGAGGACAGGCTGCTCCCAGGAATTCTGTAAAGCCAGTTGTGTCTTTGCCTGCAGACCACAGTTCTCCAAGAAAGTGACCTTTCCTTCCTGAAAGTGTGAGGTCACCCTGTGAGCTCCTATCCGTCCATCTGTCCCCTCTGCCTGCAGGCGGAATGTTGTGGAATTGTTGGGAATAAGGCATTCTAGTGAAAGTCACCGTTCTAACCATTTTCCAAATTATATTTTGTAAAAGACTGCTTCTTGTTTTCTTTTCTTTTTTTCTTTTTTTTTTTTGGCTGTTTACAGTTTCAGTTTTAGCTCACCTCTTGCTGAGCTAAATGGCTTGCGCTTTGTTCTTCTAGGGCATTTTTTGGGCACCTACTCTGTGAAAGGAGCAGTGGGCACAGGGGGCTGTAAATGGGGTGTCGGGGATCGACTGCAAAGTCAAATCTCGCGGCGGGAGTGCTACCGGGGGCATGCAGGGAGGACCTCAGTCACAGCTTAAGGGTCCAGAAGCTGGAGAGCAGGGGTGGGGGGAAATCCAGGGCCATAGGGCACCCGTGGACAAGGCAGGGTCCTGGCTCCATGCATATCATCAGTACTTTTTGGGTAAATAGGTGTAATTGTAGGTCTTAAATGTTCCTTAATGTTGAGCATCTCCGTGCTGAGAAGCGTTTATTTGCACAATATAACGGCAGCACCAGCAAGCCCCAGACACCCAACACCAGCAAAAGCCCACCTCTAGAATAAAGTTCTTGGCTGGGTCCGGGAAGGTACCTACTCCCCAGGCGGTGGAACGCAAGGGCTCAGCGCGGTTTTCCGTTGGGCCGGTTGTCCCGGCTGGCACGGCCACCAGGGGGCGCGAGCGGAGCAGGGGAAGGGAGATGGCCCGGGTCGGTGACCCAGGGCGGAGGGAGGGCGTGGGTCGGGTTGGGTTGAGAGTGGAAAGGGAGGCTTGGTTTGTCTTCTGTTCTGGGGCGGAGGAGGTCTTGAGGTCCTTTCTCCGCTGTTCCTCGTGCCAGGAAGAGATGACAGAATTCCATCCCTCGTGGACACGGCTCTGGGGGGCTGCCCGCGGCGGCGGTGTGGGGGAAGGGCAAGCAGGATGCCCATCGCTCAGCTTCACCCTTGGCCTCCGGTCGCCGGTGACCTAGCTGCCTGATGGCTGTTTGCTCGTCTGCCCGTGGGTCCTTTCAGGGATTCAGGGTGACACTTTCCCTTAACACACGTTGTACTTCGTTGCCAGCTTGCAGAAATTACTTACTTCAAAATGTGCAGATTGGAGACTTGATGCCTGAAATCTACATAATTTGAATGACTAGAATCCTGAGGTGAGTGAACAAGCGCCTATACTCATATTATCCTACTAACAGCACACAGTATTTGGGCTTAATTTTTCTATTTCCTCGGCTTGTAATCTACTTTCCTTCCCATCAGATACACAGCAATTCTGTTCTTCCAGGATCAGCTGTTTTATAATCATCACCCTGACAGCCGAACTACATCCCTGTATTCATTTAATAAGTATTTATCATCCTCTATCTTCCCATTTTCAGAAAGAAATAAGTGCTCCAGAAATTGGAAAAAAAATTGAAATTTGACCTTTATTAACTGGGTTAATTGTCAAAATCTCTGCTTGTAAAAAAAAATTAATGACCAAAAAGTGTAACTTTTAGAGTTTCAAAGATTAGGTTCATGTCCAAGGAAATATAAACTCTGACCTTTTTGACACATGTCATAAGTAACATCTATCCTAGTAAATTGCTGCTGTGAGCAATTATAACATTTTTCCTGTATCCAATTATGCAATTTAATTGCCGCTGGAAATTCTGGCTTCCTTAAGAGATAACCTGAAGAATTTTTTGATACCTACAGGAGTCATTTTATATTTGTTCCAGGGGAGTATATTTGTTCATTTGGATTTCTAAGAGATTGAGATGTCCTGGACAAAGCCTAGCCGCTTTGGCCAAAGGCAGCTTGATCAGTAAACAACAAAACTTGTCACAGGAATGACGGGGAAACAGGAGACAAGATTCTATGCCCAGATGCAGTCTGTCACTGAGGCTGGATCCTCTCATTTCCTTGTTAATTGCTTGTTTGAGATGGACTGAAGTAGGTGCAACTTAGTCAAACTCCATGGGATTAACAGGTTGGGGTTTTTTTTTTTTCTATTTTTTTAAACCTTTTATTTTAAATTGGAGTATAGCCAATTAGCAATTTTGTGATAGTTTAAGGTAGACAGCAAGGGGACTCCACCATACTTATGCATGTATCCATTCTTCCCCAAACTCCCCTCCCATCCAGTCCATCACATTGAGACAGAGTTCCCCATACTATACAGTGGGTCCTTGTTGGTTATCCATTTTAACTATAGCAGCGTGTATATGTCTGTCCCAAACTCCCTAACATCCTTCCCCACGGTTTCCCTCCTGGGAACCCTAAGTTCAAGTTCATTCTCTAAGTCCGTGAGTCTGTTTCTGTTTCGTAAATAAATCCATTTGTATCATTTCTTTTCATTCCACATAGAAGGGCTATCATATGATGTTTCTTTCTCTGACTTTACTCAGTATGACATCTCTAGGTCTACCCGTGTTGCTGCAGATGGCGTTATTCATTCTTCATTGGCTGAGGAATACTTCGCTGTGTGTATGGACCACATCTTCTTTATCCATTCCTCTGTTGATGGACATTTAGGTTGTGCTCATGTCTTGGCTACTGTAAACAGTGAGCAGGTGGTCTTTTAGATGCTATCATTTGAGGATGGGTGTTTGCAGACTAGTTTGAGGAAGCGGGGCTAATGCCCTGCGTTCACACTCTCACACACCGGTCTCGTAACAGGTTCTGTTGTTTCTGTTTCAGCAAAGGAAACAGGGATTTCAAAACTGCTATTAATCGAGTCACCCCATAGCTATGATGCTGGGGTGCCCTCTTATCATTCCATCCTCATCGGAAAATCCCACAATGTTAGAAAACCTGGAAGTGTAGTATCTAATAAACATGAAGAAGATTCTAGTTCCCTGAGGCATGTGTTCAAAGCACTTAAGTAAAGTTGTGAAAAGAAATCAGACTTAAACTCTCTACTGCTTGGTAATAGAAATGAACCTTTGGGGTGGAGGAGAGAGAAGGAATAAAAATCAGGCTAAGAGAGAACTAAGGTAATCTACCATTTTGTAGATTAAAAGCCCTGGCCAGTCACTTATGTTAGGAATAGGAAAAAAAAAAAAAAGGAATGTACCTCAAGACCTGGTTTGGGGGTGACTTCCCCTGGAAGGCCCCCCGCACCCTCCAGACATGGGCAGGGGGCTGGGCCTGCTCCTCCTGGAGTTCCTTGTGGACGAGGGGCCCGGCGTCTGCACTCTTTGTCCCCCCAGCCCCGATCAGGTGCCACAACTGTGGGCAAATCTACGGGTATCACTGAGGGCAAGCCCCTCAGTCGTGTCCGACTCTTTGCGACCCCATGGGCTACAGTCTATGGAGTTCCCCAGGTCAGAACACTGGAGTGGGTTGCCATTCCCTTCTCCAGGGCGTCTTCCCAACCCAGGGATTGAACCGGGGTCTCCTGCCTTGCAGGCGGATTCTTTGCCAGCTGAGCTATGGGTGTCACTGAATCAAAGCTTATAGGAAGAGAAAGCAGGATGAGACCCTGTGGCCATCGGTGGCGCCTGGACCTATGCTTTGTCACCTGGGAAACAGGACTCCTGCCCTGCCCTGCCCGGGCCCCCCCGGCTGCCATGGGAGGGAGCAGCAGACCGGGGCCGCCTGGGTCCTCGTGGAGAAGAACCCACACCTGTGAGGCTGTCCGAGCTCCGAGAAGACAGACCTGGAAGCGGGGACCCTGCTCAGCCTGGCTGGACTGCCCCCCACTCACACTGCAGGGCTGAGTGGGCACCTGGAGGAGACGGCCACTTGTCCCCACAAGGACACGCGGGAAGGTCAAGCTCTCCTGGCGCGCCGAGGACTCGCCCCAGGAGTCGGACGGGGGAGAGCGAGGCCGGCTGCCTGAGGCATTGGGCAGCGTTCCTCAGTGTCGCTCACCCACCAGTTGGCGGTTCCCACGGCCACTCAGCAGGCGGCAGGAGCGCATCCAACCAGGCTGCCCTCCACCTCAGACCCCTTGGCACCCGCGTCCGGCAGCATGCACGCTGGAAACGCTCTCTGTGAAACACCGCCTTTGTTCGAGCTGCTGGCGGTTAGGGGTAGACGGCCCTGACTACGACAGCACAGTGTCCGCGACAGCCCGGCTTTCTGCGCGGGGAGGGCGGACGCGAGGAGCTGTGCGGTGCTTAGTCGCTCAGTCGTGTCTTGACTTTGCGACCCCGTGGACTGTAGCCCGCCAGGCTCCTGTGTTCATGAGATTCTCCAGGCAGAGATACTGGAGTGGGTGGCCATTTCCTCCTCCAGGAGATCTTTCTGACCCAGAGATGGAACTTGCGTGCGTCTCTGATGTCTCCTGCATTGGCAGGCGGGTTCTTTACCACTGGGCTTCCCTCATAGCTCAGTTGGTAAAGAATCCACCTGCAATGCAGGAGACCCTGGTTCGATTCCTGGGTTGGGAAAATCCCCTGGAGAAGGGATAGGCTACCCACTCCAGTATTCTGGCCTGGAGAATCTCATAGACTGTATAGTCCATGGGGGTTGCAGAGTTGGACTTGACTGAGTGACTTTCACTTTCTTTCACTTTCTTACCACTAGTGCCACCTGGGAAGCCCAAATGTGTGTGTGTGTGTGTGTGTATGGACTCACACACAGGTACACCTGAGTCGTAAGAGGGCACCAGGAGACTGTGCCTAGGAGTTGGCACTTAAGTGAGTGTGAGCATCTGGGTTAACTTTCCCAACCCCACAGTCAGGCTGAGGCCATGAACACCGGTTTCTCTGCAGTTTTATCGTGTTTCTACAGGAAATACCGACGGTGGCATTTGTGTTTAAAGCAGCTGGCCACCGCTCCATTTTTCCACCTGAAGCTCACTCCCTGCAAGGTGGGTGAAACTCCGCAGGTGCTCTCCTGGGGGCCTGAGCCCCAGCCCAGTCCAAGAGCCTCCTGTGGGGTTCCTCGCGGAGGGATGGGGCTCAGCTTCCTGGGCCCTCACCGGGCCGAGCACTGCCCTGCCCCCAGGGGAAGCCCTGAATGTCCACATCCCACTTCATCCAGTGCTTCTTTGCCCGAGTTCCCAAGTGCACAAAGCACCCCCTTCTCTTGAGGCGCGGCCGTGCTCTGCCCGGGGTGATGGTTATTTGTTCAAATGGCTGCCCTGCCACCTCGCACCCGGGCCTGAAGTTCCCTTCTCAGTGGACAGATGTGAGCAGCCTGTCTGCAGAGCAGGGACCCTTGTGCTCCCCCCACCCCCAGTCCCACGAACATTTCCAGCCTCCTGGGGGCAGCTCAGACTGAGAAAATAGTAATAACTCACATCTACTGAATGCTTAGCACGCAGCCGACACTGTACCAGAAGCTTTTATACCCATTACCTCATCTGGTCTTCCCTGTCCCCTTGGGAGGTAGGAGGCACAAGATAGCCTAAAGGCAAGTACAGAAACACCCAGCGACTGTCCGCAGGGCCTGGGAGAGCAGCCTGGGACCATGGGCCCCAGAACTTGCCCTCTCAGCCAGCACGGACTGCCTGTATAGTGATGAATAAAATCAAAGTGCCCCCGGCACTTAGAACACACTCTTCACGTCAGTCACCCCTTCCGATGGCCAGCGGTCTGTCCCGGTTCACAGGCACAGCGGCCTTCCTCGGCGGGGCTCCGCCTCCCTGACCACTGGCCAGGGTTGTGCCGAGTCCCATCCCTCCTTCCAGGGAGGGTTCCTCAAACACCAGGACCAGCCCTGCAGCTTCATTTAAATAACAAATTCGACAGTGCATCTGAATGCAATCTGAGTTCCTCAAATTCCACTGACACATACAATTTTAGGTTTACACAAGATGCCACTGATTAGAAAAAAACAGTAGGCTGACCCTTAATGAGGTGACTGGATTCTACTCTACACTTACCTGAAAGTGACATTTAAATAAAAGTGAGCCCAATTCTTTGGTCAGGTGATAGGCTATAGCCTGTTAATAAACATGCTCATTTTGCCAGATCGATAATAATGGGAACGTGGCACAATATATCACAGAAAAAGCCTCTCACTGTAGCCATGGTTACAGCCAACGCTTCACGATCTGGGTTTTCTGAAACTCACCCCCTAAGCCAACCCCCACTAACCATGATTCCTGGTTTTCTTTACAGACACTACTTTAGTTCTGAACCCAAGTTGTAGGTACTTTCTCTGGGTTTTTTTTTTTAATTCTTTCACTTCAACATGTATGCATTAACCACCAAAAATATAGTTAAGTGATGATTTACAGAAAATGAATTCCCTCATTTTTAAGTGAAAGTTTGACTTAGCACAACTCTGTATGTTGGGAACCTGGGAATATTATATTTTTAATGTCTTACCCCATCTCTCGGAAAAATTAAACACATCTTTTAGTGAGCCTATTCTAGAAACTATTGGGGGAAATCACCCATCAATGGCCAGCTTGTGTGGGAAAACGGGGTGATTTTTCTAGGGCTGGAGAATCTAATTGCTAACTGTTTACACAAATAACACACAGAGCTAACGAAACAGAAGCAGAAGCTGGCGTTCTTCCAATGACTAGCCTGAGCAGCCTCTTATCCAAAAGCATTAGGAAAAAAGTAAACTTTAAAATGATTTGAAAAAGGTCTATTTTCATGACAGATGGCAGTGAGGGTTATTCAATGCCAATTTAATCACTTTTCCTCAGTTTTCAAATGCTTCAGTTGTGAATCCAAGGGTCTGTGCGGTAGCACTGCCTACCTCACGGGCACAGGGGGCTAGTGACGTGCACTGTGGTCTTGCCGACCCCGCTGGGGTCCTGCCAGGGCGATTCTCCTCGACCTGGGAAATCATGTTGTTCAACACACTGTCTTCTGACATCGAAAGCATTCTATGAGCACCATTTTTGTCACAGAGAGCCTCCTCCATTGGAGCCTAACCTATGTAACTGCTTTCTGGTCCAACAACCTTAACAAACAGACCCTAGTGGAATTAGTGGACAGAACAGTCTCCCAATTTTTAAGCAGGGACTATTGATAATTTAGTACCATTCTCTCATCTCCCAAGTAAATGAAGGAACTGAGCCCTGAGTGTGGGACCCCCCCGCCCCCAACACCCTCCTTTGGTGCCCTGAGGACCAGGGCTTGTCCCTACCCCAGTCCAGCTCCACCTCAACTGGAATCTTCTCCAGGGAGTATTTTGAAACCATCCCATCTCATGAAGCTAGTCTGTCTGAACCATACATACACCTTTCAAAGGACACACTTCACATTAGACTTGAAGGCTGTTATCCAATGAGAAACTCATCTACAATCAGTCATGAGCATTCCCGTCTCTGGGGCTTCTGTTCCGGACAGAAAACTCCCTGAATACCACTGTGCTTTTGCCTTTTGCAAGTTAGCCACGTACATCTCCCAGACTCATACTTTGGTAAAGGGCTGATGGGAGAGTTGGTGTCATAGGCAGCCTCTTAGGAGGAAGTTGAAACTAATTGCATGAACAACACAGAATGTTAACGGGCGCTGACCTCACGGAAAGATGAAACCTGTCGCGAGTGTCCAATGCGGTGGGTACACTTGATGCGCAGAGCTTGGGGAGGCAGGGTGTCCTCAGTAGAGAATGAAGCAAGTGGTTGACAGAGCTGTGTCTTCTCCAAGGAGAAACCCCAAGAACATCCTGGAGACATCTGTGTGCAGTGATGCTACACATCACTAGACAGTCGGGCGAAGAGTTCACTTGGCATTTTTAAAAATAAGTGATGTTATTTAATAGGGCTTTGGAGACATGTGAAAACATTAACATGAAGTTGAGGATGACTGGCAATGAGCAACCTGAAGGCTGGTGGCTTTCTAGGGATGGAACCCACCCCACCCCCCGTCACCACCTCCCCTGACACTAAGAACCCCCTTCCAGTGTTCCTGGTGCTGCCGGGCCTCCCAGAGCTCCCCCTGCGGCTGAACACAGGCTTCTCATCCACCTTGCCAGGGGAAGCGAACACACCCAGCACAGGTCAGGTTCACAACCTGCCCAGGAGCGAGTAGCATGGTGTACATAAAAGCTCCCCTGGTGGCTCAGACGGTAAAGAATCCGCCTGCAGTGCAGGAGACCTGGGTTGGATCCCTGGGCCCAGAAGATAACCTGGAGAAGGGAATGGCTACCCATTCCAGTATCCTTGCCTGGGAAATCCCACGGACAGAGGAGCCTGGCGGGCTACAGTCCCTGGGGCCACGCGACTGCGCAACTAACACTTTCACTTTTGACTCAAGAGGCCTGTCACACTCCACAGAAAAGGAATAGACAAAAATAGTAATCACGTTTTCCTTTTAATAAGGCTCGCTACTCAAAAGCGCAGCTTTGAGAACCTGTAGCTTGCTGTGACAACCGGAGAAGCCGGGCGCAGCCCCGCCCGCACACGGCCGCGGCGCCCTCGCGAGCTCTCCGGCGCCGGCGTGGGGGGCGAACGCTTTACAATCTGAGCCGACGCGGAAATTTACGAGCAGGGTATGCACGTCCTACTTAGATTCCAGGAGAAAGGACAAGCTCTTAGCACAGTAAAACAAAACACAAAGTAAACCAAGCTTTAGAAATCACTAGACGTGTGTGTGTGTCTGCGTGTTCGTATCATTAGGATTATCAACATTTAAAACTTTTAAAAATAAGGTTGCCACCTTTCCTTTTCTTTTGGTACTGGGGCATTATTTTTCTAGGAAAAAAAAAAAAAAGAATTTCATGTTCTTTGCCCAGACTCCCAGGTTTCCTAACCTCAAGCCCGTTTTCCGCTGAGCAGCCACCTGCCCCAGCGCAGCGCGGCACCCCGTCGCACCCCGCTCAGGCAGGAGGCCGGTCAGGCCTGCCCCCTGGCTGTCGAGAGGCCAGGCCCACAGAAGCACAGCGGACGGGGGAGCTGCATCCTCTCCCAGGAAGAAAAGGCGTCTGCCCGCTGCGGGCCTGCAGAACCTTCCGAGGCGCCGCTCCCCTCCGTGTTCTGCTTGGTTAACTGGTTGGTTTGGCCTAGAAGCAAGATGGCAAACAATCAGAAAGGGAAGCTAGATTTTTTAAATAACTTAAAAAAATCATTTTTATATAAAGCAGCAAAAACATATTTTTCTCTCAGCAGAAAGAAAACCGTGAACAGGGAAACACAGCGATGTAAACGGGCCTGTTCAAAAACCTCGGCCGAACCCGGCGCTACTTTGCACCATCCTCGGCGCTGTCGGAAGAAGGTTCTTTGGCGTCTCCAGTCGCTCGTTGACTCTCCTCTTGAGTTAAAGTCTCCTTTTCCGACCTGGTCCCGTTGGGGATAGAGCTTTGGCCGTTGAGGAGCCCGTGCTCTGCGGCCTGGGCCCTGCGGACGGCCTCGGTGAGCGTCAAGGCCTCCTGCGCGCCCGCCTCCCCGTCCAGGCTCCTGAGCACCAGCGGCAGCCGCGAGTCCGCCACGCCCTCCAGCAGCGCGGCGCCGCTCTCCTCGTACTTGGGCAGCGGGGCCCGCTCCTCCATCTGCTGCCGGTACAACTCCCGGTTCGCGGCCGCGCTCTTGACCGCTCTCTCCAGGATCTCCTTCTCACCCAAGCGCAACTTGACGGCCATGGTGGCACGGGCGGAAAGGTCGTGGTTTTTCAAGAAAGACTTATCTTCCTGGAAAAGGAAGCAGCAAAACCAACTATCACAAGTCGCTAAACTGGTAAACTGTACCCACAGAAGGCAGGCCAGTTATTGCCGGGGACGAGGGCACGGGGGAAACTGGGGTGGGGGGGAGAAGGTTCGAGAACTTGATTGTGGCGGTGGCTGCGTGACTATACACTTACCCCCAAGCGTACACTTCGGAAGTGTGAATTTTACTATATGTAAATTACACCTAAATAAATTATGGTCAAACAAAAAAGAGGAGCCTAAATCACAGTGCTTGGATGCTGGATGAATGATGGGTATTTGAAGTCAAGTGACCCAGGAAGAAACTTTGAAAGCACAAATAAAAACTTACATTTGCTTGTATCATATGAATTAGAAATTATAAAAAAGCACTAAATAATTTTAAAAAGTTATCTTCTAATCGACAGTGCCTCATGACTTTTGGTGAGGGTAAATGTGTTAAACAGGAAGATATTAATGCGTTAATTTGGGGGCTGCAGCCCACCAGGCTCCTCTGCCCATGGATTTCCCAGGCAGGAATCCTGCAGTGGGCTGCCATTTCCTTCTCCAAATGAACTGAATGAAAAATGTCAAAAACAGAATGATTTTGCTAAAGAATTATAGTAATTTACATTTAAGAGTCTCTCATGAAACATCTTTTAAAGCATGACAAAGCACAAATCCTTGTTTAATCAACAGAATCACCTCAATGGTTGTCTTATATGTTTTTAGAAGAAGTGACGCTCGGTCTTCAAGAAACGTCCACAGTCTGACCTCGTTGTCCCAGCTGACAGGGTACTCAGAGTTCCCCAGGGTGAAGATTCTGTCAATGGCACTGTCTCCCAGCAAGTGCTCTTTCAGCTCTTCTACAGGAAACACAAACAGGCGCCTGTTAGGGGAAACAGCACTACTTTCACACTAACCAGCGGCTACCTCACAAAACAGCCTCCCAGCGGCGTCCTCTTCCGTGGTGAAGTACTCCCTCCTCCCGGGTCAGTCAGAGCAGGATCAGAGCCTGACCTGTCTCAGGGAGGGAAAAAGTGGGCAGGTCTTCTTGATTGGCATCTAGATCAAGCCTTGCTTGGCCACTGTTTTTAAGAGGGGCCCTGAGAGCCTTTAGATGGTTGCAGAAGATGCTTCTTAAAGACCATCTGGAGAGACACACCCCTTATTCTGAGAACACCCTTCCCGAAAACCGTGAGCCCAGTCACACCAATTGGGTAGAAGAGACATGCAGGTGAGCAATGCAATCAGGGAAGACAAACAACAGCACAAGAGCCCAGTGACCCTTCTAGATTGAAATCTGATGGTACCAGTTCCAGTAGCTGACCTGACAAAGCTATCTGTCTCATCTTGTAACAAGTAAACCACAAAGTGAAACAAGAAAATGGACTAGAAAAATCTTAATGAAAAATATGTGCCTATATCCCTCACTTGTCAGGCATTTAAATAGGAATTACAAATAAACACAAGTGCACATCTCAATTACCTTCAAATGCATGTAAGAAGAGGAAAGAATTCAGCAACTGCTCTGAGCACTTTATCTCCTGGCACATTATCTTCAAAAGACCAAAACGTGTCGATCCTATTCACGCTCAAGAAGCATACCCGTGCTTCTTATGTAATTATGAGACAGTGTCTCTTTCAGAGCAAAATGCCCCACAGCTGTCACTATTTACAATTCAAATGGAAGAACTTCTGCTGCCAGCAAACCAAACTTTTATTAGTATTAGTGAGAATGATTCAAAGAACGCATCAATTGTCTTGACATGACAAACTCTCTCTCTATGACTACAGAGAAACTAAAGAGAAGCAACGAACCTAAAATGATTGAAAAGCAGGGTTTCTTTTTTTTTAATAAAATAGAAGTTAATCTAATATTCAAAAAAAATTTATTAAGTTGCATTTGTTAGCAAAAGATCATGATAAAATTCAGGATTTTTAGATTTTTGAGCCTATAGTTTTATTCTTTGTATAAAGAATATAAACTCTGTGGGTGGAAGAAATGTCTTTTTAGAAGCCCCCAATACTAAGGTTCCTATCTTTTTTCCTTCCTCAACCTACTCAAGTTTCACCCTTTAATGAACTTTGCGAAGCCAAGGAGCTGAAGCAGAGTTTCTCTCTGCTGCTTTTCACAGTGAAACCGGCCTGACTTCACACACCTGGAGAGATGAAACCTAGGAAAGGCCATCCACCTGCCTGCAACACCCCGGAAATGAACACAGCCTCCGGAAGCAGGCTTCTTTCCCCCTTTCCCGACTCACAGACCCTTCCTGGATTCCCTGCCATCACAGGGCTCCTCACCACCACTCTACTCCCCCCCCCCCCCCAGCCACCACGAGAGCGTGGTTTGGTGGCCCCCAGCCTGGCTCCGTGTCAAAGACCCTGCAGCGCTAGATCTCTTCCATGGGCTGCAATTCCTGCAAACCAGCCGGAGCCACAAGGGGGCTTGGGGCACAGGCTCTGAGTTGGCTGAGCTGGTCCCACGGGTCACTGCCTGTAAGCTGAGTGGCCAAGTTCCTCTCCTCGTGGCACAAGAGTTTCTACGTCAGTTAAGTGGGAAGCCCTGCCTCCCTTCCACAAGGCGGCTGAGAATGAACAGCCTGCTCCATAGTCCTCTACAAATGCAGACTCTGACACGGTTAGATAATCCAAGATGTTGTAGGTTTTCTCCAATGAAGTAGAGAATTATTTGTTTATTACAAGAGCCCCGCCCAGAGTGGGGCTCCCAGACCCCAGGGGTCGTCATCGTCATCATCACTCCTAGTTATAAGCTTCTTCAGGCCATGAACTGTGACACTCAACTCTGTAACCCTACCTTATATGCAAGAAAAGCCCAGAGTTAACCCTAAACTCGTGTCCACTAAACTGGAGTGACAACTCACCACCACACACAGAAGCACAAGCTCTCACTCAAGGGACGGGGAGTCCAGAGCAGTATGGCTGTGAACAAGGGGTGAGGACCGCCGTGCATGTCTCTGGGTTCTGCAGTTGAGGTCTAAGTGGCCTTTCTGTGCTGCAGGACTCAGTTTCTCCCACCTCCATCCGATGACCAGCCAGACCCAGGCAGCACTTCCCTGGCTGCGGATGTGAGGACAGGAGCCGGGTGGCAGAGCCCGGCAGGCTCCCTCCAGGGGCTGGAATTTCCGCTCCGGCCCAGCTGGCCTCACTCCAATGCTCGGACAGCCTCACACTTGTCTTTTCAATCAGGGGGCACTCGCTCGCTTGCTCACTCTTTCCCACCCAATCTGTTGTGCACAGGATCCAAGGTGCTTTACAACAACAGCAAACTCACACACAGTTAACAATGGCACCTCACGACCAGAGGGTCTGGAAGAGTGTATTTTCTGATGAAGAATGAAACACGACCGCAATAGGTCACAACTCAGTACCAGAAGCCCCAAATGGCTTATCTTACGGAAACATAAAATCAGGGCTCAATACTATGTATATATATATTAAACTCTTTTTGTGCCTGAAGTAAGAGGCTGTTGACAAGAATATTTTGCAATTTAAACAGGTTCTGTTTGCAGTGTTATATACTCCAACTGGATGCCTGGCATTAAAAGGCCTGCTGGCAACTTTGGATCCAAACCACAAAGCTGGTTAACAGATGAAGGCCTCTGGCCCACACGGGCCCCAGCCAACCCCACAACTTCAGTGATAATTGCCCCCTCACTTGTCCAGATGAATTAGAGACATCAGACCCCATGAGTACACAGAGATTCTGTCGTCCCAGGTAAATAAACACATCAAGAACTCCTGTCTACCAATGAAGAATCTGATACGGTTAGATAGTCCAAGATGTTATAAGTTTTCTCCTAATGCAGTAGAGAATTATTTGTTTATTACAAGCGAGTATTGACAACACATCGAGGATTTAATAAAAAAACTTCCACGATGAAACATCATTTTCTTCTTTTTCCAATATTACTGTCTTACCTCCTCCCCCAAAGTGCTTTAATTTTAAGCAGTTTTATCTTTAATCTGAATCCCTCTGTCTCACACTTCATGAAATAAAAAAAAAAGTCAACATTTTTTTTTTCCTGAGATGATTTACCTTCGGTCATGCAGAAAACTCGGAGAAAAGCCAGCAGCTGGGCGGAGATGGGTGGCTCAGTGAAATGCAGGGCAAAGACGCTGGAGCTGACAAGAGAAGAGGCTGCATCAGTCCCGGGAGCCCACTCCTGCCCGCCCGCTCCTCAGGGAGATTTCTAAGCCTGCCCTCGGCGTGGTGACCCTCAGGGAGCGCTGGGCCAGCCAGAGGCCCCCCAGCTTCTCCCCCGAACTCTAAATACACAGCATTCAGTCCTGGCAAAATGCAGCAGGGCTGGGCCGGCCCAGGTGGACGGCGGAAACCGTCACTGCCAGCAGTCAACGGTCTAACAGCCTTCACCTTGGGGGCACACGGCATACTAGGAGAGCTGAGCACACCCACGGTCCCTAAAGGGAGGTTACGATAATTTATGTTGAGTTCACATTTTAATCATTAATCAAATATTGACAAGTTCAATAAAAAAAGGTCTAGATAATCCATTTTCATTAAGAATGGTTCCTCCATTCCCTGGAGAACCAATAAATCATAATTCTTGTCTTCTTTATCATTTTGCACCTCAAATGCAAGAAGATCTTAAAAAATTTAACCAGAAATTCTTGAAATCACTGAGGCTCGTGACTTCATTACAGAAACTAATGGTGGCAAAGGATTAAGTGAAACAAATTGATCCTGGCCATTAACCTTTTCAAGGTGAAAGGCATTAATGACGCGGAGGCTCTACTTTAACTGAAGGAGGGTTTCAGGCCACATCCCCGGGCACTGGCTGTGGACGCCTTCAGCGACACGATTATGTTCATCTGAAAACGCTGGTAAATCACCATACATCTAGCGGTTTAGATTCGCAGTATAATAGGGATAAAGGGATTAAGACAAACTACAGCAAAGGAGTTGCATTAACTCGCCAATTAAACACTCTGCAACTGGAAGTATTTCAAGGCCCACAGGAGAGAGCTGACAGACTGTGTCTACGTACGTTGGGATGCCAGCACGAGCCAGGACCTCGGCCTTCATGGCGTAGAGCCGGTCACTTTTACTCACTCCAAGCTTTATTTTCACTCTGTCGTGTGAATTATTGTCAAAGAAAAAACCACTGTGGATCACAAACTCTGCATTTGACCGAGTGCCATAAAAAATGTAAATCTGAGATGCAGTAAAGAAAAAATAAAGGGATATAAAAGAAACTTAACATCCATTCTCAGTACAAAGCAGGGCAAAGGGTCAGTTCTCATACATTTAGCGCGACTTTACACTAAGAGGACGGACAGCCCTGAAGGAACCACACCCTGCTCTGAAGGCCCGGTGCGGCCCCCCAGGCCTCCCAGCAACCACAGGAGCTGAACCCATCCCGGCCTCTCTCGCAACCCCTCCCTGCCCAGGCACAGCAGTACTGTCCCTTTAGAGCTGCACGTTACAGTCCACCACGTTCTCCCCTCCTCTGACCACCAGTGTCTGGCAGAGACCCATCTCTAGAGGCTGCGGCAATTCTGCCCGTAGCAGAGGGGTGATGAACTTTCCTCCAGACACTTGGTTAGGCTGACATTTTTCACCCTGTTTCCGCGAGAATGTCAGTGGCCTGTGTCAGTTCTTGGTCACGGCTGACAGAGCACAGGTGTTCTTACCTGCACATCTGCAAGCTGACTGAGAGGCTGAGCCCCGCCCACCCCGCCCCAATTATTACTGGAAACAGATTCAAGTGAAAGTATAAAAAGTCAGCTCTTGTGGGTCCCGATTCCCTTATGGTTTTGCCACTTAAATACATTGCCTCCGTATAAAGAAGGTTCTGATCCACAGAGAAAGATATGAAAGCAACGCAGTTTATATAATGGAAAAAATCTGTTCTACTGTCGTAACACAGAGTTGATTTTCAGTGGACAGTGTTACACACAGTAGGTCAGTTGTGCAAACCTTTCTCCCTGGTGGGACCAAAGGTCCCATGCAGAGCATGATGTGTTTATCCTGGCTTTGGGTCCCAGTACATACTCCCTAAACAAGCCTTAGACACAGATCTCACACAGTGCGAGCTGAGGGTCTCCGGCGGAACCCACCTGCTCTCCGGCCCGGAAATCCTGCAGGGCCACACACTCGCAGCGGTCGTCCTCCAGGTTGTAGCCGGTGGTGATCTGAACATGGGAGGGAGGGGACAGGACAGTGTCTGAGTGCTCTGGCTCAGAAGGGCCTTTTTTTTTCTTTTTGGCCATTAGAGGATAAGAAACACCCAAAGCTACTTAAAGGGGTACATTTGGCCCTGCTTCATCAAACTGAGCAGAGTTATTTTCATTAATTCTGTTCTCACCAGACATCCTCCTGGAAGACCCCAAACCTGCACTGAGGGACATACCCTTTGGAAAATGTACACATTATCCCTTGCTGGTCTCAACCAAATAAAATTATTCGTTACATAGTTACTGCCTTTGAGCCCATCTACCCCCAACCCCACAACACAGGACAAGCACTCCCCAAGGAGGAAGCAGGATCCCAGGAGAACTGTGAAAGTGAAGTCACTCAGTTGTGTCCGACACTTTGGGACCCCACTGACTGTAGCCCACCATGCTCCGCCATCCATGGGATTTTCCAGGCAACAGTACTGCAGTGGGTTGCCATTTCCTTCTCCAGAGGATCTTCCCAAACCAGGGATTGAACCCAGGTCTCCCACATTGTAGGCAGACACTTCACTGTCTGAGCAACCAGGGAAGCCTGTAACAGACTTGCAAATAGCATCTTTTCTCCTATCTGGCCATTAAGAACCCAAAGTGAGTCTCCTACTGGATCATGAATCAGGGAGAAAGAAAAATCCTGTTTCTGAATTATATACGTATTTTACTCTAAAACTAGAGAAATTCAAACTTTCAGACAAGCAAAAGAAAAACAGAACAACTTAGTTACATCCTATTCACTTTCTTTATGCTGAAGGCTACACTGAGTTTCTAAATCCCCCAATCACTGACTACACGGAAAACGTGCATCTCTCACCGCTCCTGTCCTGGGGCCTAGAGAGGGAGGGGAGAGGCAACACTGTAGTCCCAGCACTTTTACCTTCACTTAATTCGCTGGGCCTCAGCTGGTCAGCATGTCACCTTCCAGGTCGCCCTTTGGATTCCATCTGTCCAGTCATCCCCCTGCTCGTTCGTGCCTGGCTCATCACGTGCAAAACCCTCCCAGTTGGTCTCCAATTCCTGCACTGTCCCTCCTGCATCCCTGGGGACATTCGCTGTTGATCTCTTGTTTACAGCCTTTCAGTGGCACTCTCCTTTGCCTTCAGGAAAAACAACCTGAATTCTGGAGCAACGCCAGTTGTCAAGGAGCCCTGCGCCTCCCTGTGGCTGTGGGCCTGCCACTCTGGCCTCTGCCCCTGCACCATCGTGCCTGCAGCCGCCTGCAGCTCCTGCTCGGCCTGAGCTCTGCCTTCTCTGGAGGTCCCCCTCGCTCCAGATTCCCTCCGTGCCCCCCAAAGCCCTTCCCATCCCACAGCAGGGCACTTACCTCTGTACCTGCCCCTGCCAGCCGGGACTGCAGCTGAACCCTTTCCACCGCTGGGCCAGCAGCTTGGCCCGCCGTACCTAACACCCGACGCTGCCTCTGCCCTGACAGCATCTGCCTGACAAGGCACCCCCAGCGGGGGAAGAATGCGGTCCCTCAGGGCAGCCCCCGCCACGTCTTAGAGGGTCTGTGCGGGTAAACTCAGTCACTTCAGTCCTGTCCGACTCTCTGTGACCCCGTGGACTGTAGCCCGGGAGGTTCCTCTGTCCACGGGATCTCCCAGGCAATAATACTGGAGTGCGCTGCCATTTCCTTCTCCAGGGGATCTTCCCGACCCAGGGATTGAATCTGCATCTCCTGCGTTGACAGTGGATTCTTTACCCACTGAGCCACCAGAGAAGCCCTAGAGTGTCTGTAAATGCTCATTAATTGATCTCCTCATTTTATCCCGGAGAATCAGAATTCAAGACAGCTTCACGTGCTATTTCCTAATAAAGGTGTCAACAGCTCAAAAGATTACTTCCGAGTCTAGGGAACTGCAGGCCAGACAACACTGCTCTCTAAACCCAGCACCCCAGAACCAATGGCTGAGTAGACACAGACCAAGAAATCCACACACTTGTGATCTGCCAAGACCAAGGAGAAACAGGAAAGCGACGCGCACATAATGAAGCCAGGCGTCCCCGCTCCTTCCCACTCACAGCACAGCCGCAATACCTGACGAAGGAAAGCATGGCCTGGGGAAGCAGCGGGACAGCCAGTGCGGAGGCCCCGTGGGGGGGTGTGGGGGGACAGTCAGTGCCGAGGCCCCATGGGGGTGTGTGGGGGTGGTGCGGGGGGACAGTCAGTGCAGAGGCCCCATGGGGGTGTGGGGGTGCGGGGGACAGTCAGTGCAGAGGCCCCATGGGGGGGGTGTGGGGGTGCAGGGGGGACAGGCCGAGCAGGCACTTTTCTGCCACTGCAAACACCTGGGCTTTCACCTTGAGACTGAAGCCTGACGCACATCTAAATGTTTCAGACTTTTCAACACCCAAACAGAAAGGCCTTGGGGAAGAGCCTCCCTGGGTTCTGCCTGAACCTCCCAAAGCCCGCTCGTCCTGACTGGCAGAGGCACAACCCAGACCCAGGGGCTGGCCATCCAACGCGCTCCACCTGCGGGCAGGAGCGCAGGGGCCCCAGGCGGCCGGGAAGCGGCCTTCTCTGTGTGAGCGGACCGACCTCAAGGAAGGGCAGGCAGACCAGCACCCCCCAGTTCTGACCCAGACACACGGAATTCAGACACAGCTCAGCACGACACCTGGAGACCTGTCTGCGTGCTTCTCCCAGCGGATGGGAGTGGTTCTCCTGCGCCAGGCTGCGGCCGGCCCGGGGTAGCCACCCGGCCAGCCGCTTCCTTCCTCATGACCTGCCTCGGCTGCTGCTTTGGAATCACTGTCACAGAACCTGACTCTCCCACCTCTCCCCCCGGAACCAGGTGCCGGCACACTGTCAGGAGTGCGACGTTGCCCGGTTACTAATTTCTGTCTCCTCCCTCAGTGGCAATCAGATCAGACAGACAACGGCTGCCAGGACAGACACACACAGAGAAGAAATCTACTGTCTGAAAAGCTTAATTTCAAATACCTCACTTAAAAAAAGAGATTAACTGTTCAGATGTATGACATGCAACTTCACAGTGTTAAAATAGATTCTGAAATTACCCAGACAGAATTTCCCATGATGTCTTACAATTACGATGGCAAACAGTTCAACAAAGGTGCAGCAGAAAGAATTAAGTATGTGGAGAAAGTAACCACTGGAGGGAAAAGTACTAACGTCTCACATGAGCCTTCTCAAGGTCAGCAGTGTTCCCGCATGGTCTGCGGGGGTTAAAGACTTGGTCAACAGTGTAGTAAAAGACAGCATGAGCGGTCGTCATCAACTCAGTAATTTTATTATGAGATAAACTTTCTTTTAACTTTTAGGGGGAAAATGTGAGTAGTGTACATGAAAGTAACATAAAAGCAGTCTGTGTGTGAGTGTGTGAGGGGGCAAATGCATGCAGAGACTCTCAGAAAGCCAGTGGCCAGCTGCCCAGGAGGCAGGAGGGGAACAGACCACAGGGCCCGAGACTGGGGGCAAACTCTTGAGTTTCACCTTGCAGAGGCTTCTGTTTTGTTTCACAGGTTATGTTTGTTTACAATAAAGTGTGTGCTTTCCACACTTTAGAAAGAAAAGAATAAACCCCAACAATCAATCAAGTCTGGGAACCAACGTCCCAATCCAAAAGAAGAAAAAGAAAAATGCTACAGCCAAAGATTAAATGCTATTTGAAAATTTTATAACTTCAATATGATAATCAGTTCAAAACAGCTCTGAAAGAAAAGGAAAAGAACAAAATGTAAAATTTTATTAATGAAAATAAATGATAAAATATGCTAAGAACACCTCAAAACGGCTAATTAAGCATATCTAAATCAAGGCAAGAGTACAATTTAAAAAGTCTAGTTATTTCTTCTCTACAGTTTAAGAGTGTACTGGTTGCTAGACCTTCCCAGATTAGCACTAGGGTGTTCTATCTTAAGTGTTTGGCAAATGTTACATGTGTTCTGGCCATTTTGTGGAATTACACGTAAAATACTCATTTGCAGCATTTTTCTAATCAATTTATAATACTGCTAATAATAACAAAGAAAGCTGACACTGAGAAAAGATGAACAAAAAACTAACCAAACCAGTATACAATCATAATGTATACGTTCAAAACATCCTGAAGTTGACTATCTTTCCGACACTGATTTCAGGAAACCTCTCTCAGACGCCTTCTCCGCACAGAGTGGCACTCTTCGGTGGCTCACGGTCGAAAGCACGCTAAGCCAGAGGCAGGCTCCTCTGCGCATCCTGACTAACCATCATCACGGCATCTCCCTGTCTCCTTAGCATCCACTGATGCCAACAGACTCCTATATCCGAGGCCATGTGCACCTCCCCCGCCCCGCCACCAGGGCCACCAGGACAATTAACACCAGGTTAATCAAGGGGGCCGAGGATGTGTCCGCCTATCAGGTGAAGGAGTGGGCCAGGGGATAGAAGAGAATCAGAGAAGCTTAAGGAACCGGAAATCAGTCAGCAAGGAGAGAAAACCAGCAACACAGAAGGAAACAGCAGGAGGAGATAGGTTTCTTTTTTTTTCAAATAAATCAGTATTTTTAAAAGAATCAGGAAAAAGAAACTGGTTTAGTCTTAAACTGGTCCTTAGATAAGAAAATGTATGTCTAGGCTTAGCACATAAATGCGGTTCACTGTGGCTTCTGAAAGTGACATAAGACTCCTGTTTTCAGGATTAAGTAATAAACACAGGGAGAAAACCCCCAGCCTCTACTCAGGGGAGGCAGGGCAGGTGGCAGGTTTGTTCTGTTTGCTCCTCTGGGAGGGGCGGTGGGGAGACTGACCTGAGGCAGGCCGCCCTGTCCTGACTGCACACGACCTGGGAGGGGCAGTGAGGAGAGTGACCTGAGGCAGGCCGCCCCGTCCCGACTGCACACGACCCGGGAGGGGCGGTGAGGAGAGTGACCTGAGGCAGGCCGCCCCATCCTGACTACACAGGACCCAAGAGGGGCGATGGGGAGAGTGACCCGAGGCAGGCCACCCCGTCCCGACTGCACACGACCCGGGAGGTGGGTGCTCACCAGGCCGCTGGTGTGGTTGCACATGTCCCACAGGGGGATAAGCGCCAGGGTCACCCGGGAGCCGTCCTCCGTGGGAATCTGGTTTTGTCGAGTCATAACGGAAGAGACCGCCCACCTGTAACAATCCAAAAAAAAGAGGCTGATTAGGGCTGGCACATCGAAGAGCCCAGCACAGTCACAGTTCAACCAAAACTGAGGTGCCTGACTTCTCAAAATTCTTTCCTAAGTTGCAAAGGTGACAACTGGCCACCTTCATCGTCATTTAAAATTTACTTTCAGAGTCGGTTGGTGGGGGAGGGGGACAGGCATGGAAGGAAAGGAAGCCAGGGGCAATCAAGGAGTGAGCGGTTAACAGGAGGCTGTTCCTGGGGGAGAAAGTAGCCTGGAAGAAGGGCTGGCTGACGCCAGAGCTGGCCAGCCCTCTGCAGGTCCCGGGCTGGGCGGCCACAGGGACTCCATGCCTCTTTCACACAAACGATGACTCTGTTCCTATGTGTAGCCTCAGTGAAAAGCAAGCAGTATAACTCCTTTCTGATCAGAAATCCTCTAAGAATGCTTCAAAATATGGAATGCTATTTTTTATTATGCTGTGAACTACACTGAATCTTTTTGTTTAAAAAAAAGAAGTCCCTACTTCAAAGCACTAAAATAGTCTACTTAGAAAGAAAAAAGATCCCCACGACCACCCCACACTAATGTTAATCCTGGGCAGCACTTGGCTACAACGACTAATCCCCACCAATACAGGTGGAGTGGAAATTTCCACATGGCTATGAAGATGCGGCTACTTACCCCAGCTGTCCGGGGTAACTTGGGAAAGACTTTTTTTTAAGGCTTTAAATGGTCATGCCAATCACTTCTTATCAAAGCTCTTCGAGCTTCTGAGACCCCAAATTCACTGGAACCACCCTCCACATGCCTCGTGCACATACACAACCCCTCCCCCCATCACCCTCCCACACACCAACCTGTAGTCCTCGTAAGTGAAGGAGTCCTTCAAGGGCAGTTTGTGGGCATGAGGATGGGTCTGGGAATGAGGAAGTTTTAGAAAGCAGAGGTGAAGAGAGAAAAAGGGAAGACAGAAATCAGTCAGCAGAATTTCATTGCTTAGCTGCCTAACGGATCCTAACAAGAGCCAAATGAAGCAGGAGGCATCCAGCGGCCTACTGAGGGCTCATGGCGCTATTATGCGCTCATACATCACTGTCAACTTAATTTGTTGTGCCCAGCAGCCGCCATAAATCTGCGGCTTGTATTCTGATACCAGGGCCCACAGACGACGCACAAAAATAAAATTTAAGGTGGACTGAGTTTACCAAAGGTAGGCACACCCACACTGATCAACACAGAAACCCGGAGCCTAAGTCAGGTCCCACCTCCCTCCACATCCTGTCCCATGATGTGCTGTGAGGCCCTTACGAAGAGTCCAAATCTCTTCTTACCTCAGTAAAAGGAGCAATTAAAGGTACTTGAATAAACTAAAACTTCTCTCATTAATCTCTGACTTAAAATCATTTAGAAGGAAATCAACTTGTTATGGGCAAATGAATCACACACATGGCAGATGCAGCTCAAGTACAGAAAATCAAGAAAAAATACAGTTCTGTAAATTATGAATTAAATCTTACAAACAAACATAATGAAGATAAAATTGAGATCGGCACATTTAAACTTCACTACTTTTTTTTTTCTCTACACAAAAGATCATTTGATGAAAATATCCCAAATTTCACACATTGGAGAAAATTTTACACATCTCAGGTTCTTGCTCTGTAACACTCTCCCCGCCACACCTTAGACCTTTTGAGCACGTAAAAAACTGTCTCAATTAAGAAATTAAAAGCTCTAACGGTATAATTTTAATCTTCAGTTTCCATTACAGGCTGATAGACAGATTGCAGTAAGTGATCAAATGAACAAATGGTGATTTCTGAGACACCCATGGAATCGGCTGCACTGTCTCTGCACCACTGTTAATGCATGAAGCCCCATGTAGTATGCAGTTTTTACTCTTGACGCATTAGCATCACAAGTGCACGGCAATTTATCATCGCTCACTGTAATGTACTCGCTGGCACCGCACGCAGGACAGTGGGGGATGAGGTAAAAGTGGCTCAAACCGTAAATCAATTAGAAAACAAAAGCTGGTGCTCCGCGCGCGCAATTTTAGGCAAATTATATATTACAAGAGGCTGCCAATTGGGTGCTAGCTCCCAGGTGCCTGCTTCTCCCCTCTAACCCTCAACCCAGTTTTAACCCTTTGGAAGAAAAGTCAACATTAGGAAATACAGTTACACAATATGTAAATGTTGTGATAATAAAAATGAAATTAAAGAAGATGCCATTTAACATAAACATAACCTATTGCCCAGGAGCATTCTCTTGCTACATTTTCTAACTAGGAAGATTAGGCAATCCTGTTTCCGGTTTAAAAAAAAAAAACAAAAACCCTATACCATGGTCAAGCGCAGCAAAGATGGGAGGAGAAGCTTCTCATTACATCTTCTTTGAATAGATGAAATGTAAGGCTGTGCTCAAGACTCCTAAAGATGCTTTCCATTTAATTATGGAACTTGACCACAACGGTGCTCGCGTTTTTTTCTCATAAAACTACAAATTCAGCAGACAGGAACTTCTCTACACCCCAAACTGTGATAAGTACCATAGAAAAGCTTCCAAACTTGAAAGAAAGGGAATTCTATTGCTAGAATTTCCTTTCACTTATAATGAAATGAAGTTTCTCATAGTCTGACCTACTTACCAGAAATGTGGCACAGCCCATCTCTCCTCAAACTCTAGGAGGTGGGAAAGCACTGCTGCTTTTGTTATTTTAAAATATTTTAAGTTCATTTAAACTGTGGAATGCACTACAGTATTTTTGAAAGTTGGTAAATTCCAATGCTAAAACCCCTAAGTATTAAAAATTTGACCCCTCCCCCTCAAAAAGTTCGACTTATTGGAGAAAGATGACAGTTTTCAAAATTAGAACGCTGAATGTCACAATGACTTGAGGAAAAATGCTCCAGACACTCAAACATCTTTAAATAGCTTTGGACTCTATGAAAACTCTTCAAACAAGGGCCACCTCCCTAAGAGCCAAAAAGATGGAAAAGTAACTCGCAAAACTGTCTCCCTTCCTATTATTTATGTACATTTCTTACCAAATATATAAGTCCATGTTCACTGTCCTGGCAAAGTCGTAAAGAAAACTCAAGGGAAAAAAAATGTGCAAATGTTTTCTGCAGATTAATTTTGAAGATTATTTTGGCTGTAGAGTTATGTAGTATTTGCAGAATCTCTTAGAAACAGTTGTTCTTATGTGCTTAAAAAATAAGGTGTGCCCACTGTATGTAATTCTGGTTTAAAGAAATATATGTGTTCTGCCAAACACATTCACTTAGCAGACTGAAGCGGAATGTGAGGCTACAGAGAAAGGCAAGTAACTGCCGCTTCAATGGGGCTCTCACTACTGTGACGCCGGCGCCACCTACTGGTGTCGTGGTGGAATACATCAGCGCTGCAGGGTTCTTGAATTAACAGCATTTCCCAGGGTCTGAGGCCTTCGGAGCAACTTATCCTAAACCCAAGCTGGGTTTATCCAGAGTGGCTACTAGTTCAGATTTACTCAAGAGAAATTTGGTTTGTTAAAAAAAAAAAAAAAATCTAACCTTCCCCTTTAGATATATAATAGTTTTACAAGGATCTTGAAACATTCAAATATTGAAATGATTTGCATGGGTGAAAAGCATTTAACTTTAAATGTAAGTATTTTCACAAACCCTGAAAAAATAAACAAGAATAAGAAATGTGTCTACTGCAGACACTGTTTAAACTTTGGACAGATTTTTTTTTTTTTAACACATTAAGTCTCAAGGTTTAAAAATACATCTTCCAAAAATTACAATATTAATCTGAAGTTACTTCCAAGTTTCTAAAAATGTTCTTGGATGAAACTTATTATGCTTATACTTTATGGGGAGGATAACTGAACACTCATCACTTTATAGAGCAAAATCCTATAAGGGTTTTGTTTATCTCCAGTAGAAGCCAGTCCTAACATGTACTTTAACAACAGAAGTCTAAATGAAAGCAGAAAATGTGGCTAATTGATTTAAGGTCAGATAGCTGTTTCCAGGATGTACCTACCTACACGCTGGATGGGGAGGGGCTGTCTGGCTTGAACAACAGTGACCCCATAAACGCAGTTTAGAAACCAGCCATAGATCTTCTGCAGATTTTTTAAGTGATTGATATTTTCACTTTCTTATGCATTATAAATATTCGAAGTTGAGATATGAACAGTTGCTGCAGCTCATGATCAGGCCTGAAGCCCTGCAGAGCTCACTTTTAAAAGAGGATTCTTGTTTGCTTATGTCAAGCCCGGCAGCCCAGGGAAGCCCTCCCTGGTCCCTCTTCTATTGGAGGAGGTGTTCCAGATGAGACACAATAATACTGTACCTAGTACAAAATAATCACTGTGTTTGGGAAAGATTAATATCTAAAATCGTTTGTTTGGCTTCAATAAAAAGAAGTAATATTGCTAAATATGTAAGTATGACATTTTGAAGAATTTACCGTATTGCACGGGTCTGGTAGGAGTGCTTAAGGAAATTAAAAACCACCACAGTCAGCATATTTCATCCTTATTAAAGTTCTGTCTTGAACGATCACTCACATAAAACAAAAATAAACCAAGAAGAAATTTAAATAAAAAACCTATGGATTACAAGAGTTTGAATATGAAAAAAATGAACAATATTCTGGCTTTAAAAAATTGATTTAGCATGCAGCTTCTCTTTATAGTCCCTTGATAAAAATGAAATCTCCCTAACAAACACTTAATAAAACCTGTCAATATCTCTAGAAAGAAAAATGACACAAATGCATTAAGTATTAAATACCCTTGGAAAAAGTCACATATTCCATGAATTTTTGATGTACTATCTTGACATTAATGTAAAACCTTGATATTTATAATTGACAGATATTTAATAAAGTATAAAAGAAGATGGCTGCTGTGTAGCATGCAAATTCCTCAGGTTGATCAGAAATGAAAGATACAGTCATGTACTTAAACTAAACAAACAGTTAATATGTGCTGCACGAATCAGCTGTAGTCTTATTTTAAGCTCACACAACAAACCTTCGCAGAGAAGCAAAATAAGCAGAATTCATTATTATGTGAATTCCTAATTCAAAAGCATCTAATATATGAAACAGCTCTGCACATGAAACAAAATACATTCGAGTTAAAGTTGTTTTTTGTTTTTAACAGTTGACAGTAAACATCTCAGAGATAAAGATAAGCACTTTGAGAACTACATGGAGAGGTATTTCCTAAAACAATTCTTTTTAAAAAAACCACACATTTATCTGGAAGAAAGATTCGACATCCTCTAAGGAAATTAAATAATAAAATAAAAAGAATTAAGACACATAAATGTCTCTAGGACATAAACACTTCTCAAAATTAGATCTTTACTTTTCTAAAAAATACTCATCTCTAACCTTGACCAGTGTTTACATGGAAACTGAGTTGAACACATTTAATAATCACCTTCCATGAGGCATTTAAATATATTAAAAGGAAAGTAGCGCAGTTCAAAAAAAAGACTCTTAAACACCATATTTTAAAAAATTTATAGCCTGCTATAATATATAATCAATTGTTAATTTGAAAAATATATACGGTAGTTCAGTGACTTATTAATGGTTCTACAGTATCAGGAATGACAAAATACAATTTAGAAATTGTACCTAGTTTGCTCTGGTTAAAAACCACAGTAACACGCAATTAGAACTTTCCAACTATAACACGTCATAGGTTGCATTTGGCATACATACTAAAAGGCAGGGGACAGGGGAGGAGGAGAAGGAAAATTTATACTTAGAACACTGAGGTTCCCCTTCTAGCTCCAAAAGCAGGCTAATTAGAAGCACTGTCAGGCAGCGATTTCTAGTAGGTCCGTCAACCCTCCTGCTCATATTTCATTTTCTAAGTGGATAGAACACAGTTTAACAGAATGA